AAGGAGCCCTAAAGTTATGTTATTTCGATAAACACAATAAACCTAAAAACAAATTATATATATGGATATTCATTAGATGTTGGAAAGAAAATAATGACAACTACACAATATATATATATATATATATATATATATATATATATAAAGCAACCACTCATAGGCTAAATTCTCAAAAAAAACCGCTTTTTTTCAAGGGTAGGGAGGTGACTGGAGAAGGGAGGGCAGGGGGAAGGACTTGAACACTACGGAGGAAATATGATAATTAAGACCTATCTGCTGGAAAGATAGAGAAAATGCGTATCTTACCCACAAAGAAAAGGCCCAAGCCATATGCTAACTAACTAAGGTTCATTTTTAAACTCCAATTTTTCCAAAAATATTGTCGTAAAAAATTACAACTAGATCACTTTCCTAATGTAAAAACATTTTCAACTCACAGTATAAACGTCAGTAGCATGGTCATCTAATTGCACCAGAATATCTTTGTTTAGCAGCTGCTGTACCTACAAATTATAATTCGTTTTGATTTCGAATTTCAACTGAAAAATCTATATTCTACTCTAGCCCTAGGACCACAATGAGCTCACAGTATCAAACAACGCTTCCAACTCCTTCGTATTCATCGCAAACTGCGTTTCATCCCCATGTGCACACACGAAACTTGCTCCAAACTTATTGTAAAGCTTAACGAGTCGCTGTACAGCTGTACGCTCTTTTTCCATGACCACTGTATTAGTATTATCGAGCCAAGTCCAGGAGTCATCAGAACTTATACGCGGAATGCCGCCTCTTAAAGCAAGTCAAAGTAACATCAAAGATACTAGTGAAAGCAAGTGCATCCTTAACATACCCATTCTTTCCGCTAGAGTCATTGATGACAGGTGGAGCTTCGAAATCCACGGGAAACACGTATGAGATCAAAGGTTTGTCGCTTCGAGGTGAATATCGACCTAATGATCGAAGCAAACCCAATACGTAGCAGGTTAGTTTAAGAAGATGAGCTTAAGACAAAGATGATATTTGAATCAGAAGTCGCAGTATGAAGATCACACTTACATTTCGATTGACTCGCATTTTCATGATCTTCCAAAATTTCGAATACGGAAGCAACTGCGCAGGCTAAGGCGTCAATCTAAAGTCCCACGTTTGATACATAACATCGTGACGAAAAATATATTATATAGGAAAGACTGAACTGGAACATGAGAGCCTGGTCAAAAACAAACATAATTGGAAAAAAATTTCCTAAAAGGTTCATTGGTAACAGAGTTAGGCTGGAGTTA